CAGACAGACACAGACAGACACAGACAGACACAGACAGACACAGACAGACACAGGCAGACACAGGCAGACACAGGCAGACACAGACAGACACAGACAGACACAGACAGACACAGACAGACACAGACAGACGCAGACAGACGCAGACAGACGCAGACAGACACAGACAGACGCAGACAGACGCACAGACGACAGAGACAGAGACAGGGACAGGCAGACAGACAGACATACATACACACGCGTGCGTACATACGTACGTACATACATACATACATACGTACATACATACATATGGCTCAAGCCATTTTGGCTCAAGTTTCGGCTCAAGCTGGCTGTTCCTTTGACGACCGCCTGGTGACTGGCCCTTCCCATGAACCATCCTCAAGCTCGCGCAGGCGCGAGCCAAGGAGGAATGTCCCTCCGACTTCCTCGCCTATCAGAAGGCCATTGATGAAGATGTTGGAGATGTCTTGATGGTTGCAGCTGAGCGGATGGACATGCTTCTGAGGGAACCCACTCACTTCCTCAAGAAGAAGACTGAGGTTGCCGAAACTCCCCCAAGGTCCCGCTCGCCCAACAAAAGAAGGATATGATATGATCTCCTTCTGGCTCCAGCGCCCGGAACATCAAGGGCACAGCTGGCAACCCCACCGCAGCGGAGCCCAATGCGTGCAGTGCAAGCTCAAAGTCCACATCAAGAACATGTTGCAAGAGCTCAAGGCAGCCACTGACAAACAGTGCACGGCCATGCCCATCCCCAAGCCGGCAAAAACGCCTCGGATGGAAATCATCCGCGAGCTCATAGCAGCTCAGAGCAAGCCACAAGCTGGTGTGCACTTCTTGAAGTTGGAGAAGGCCTACCTGAGATGCACTCAGTGCCGGAGCTACATCCTGGCCAGGACCAATGAGGCCTCGTTTGAAGCCTTCGTCGGCGAGACTTGCTTCAGCGGGCCGCTTCCTCAGGCCATGTGGAAAGGACATCACTCGCATGTGATGATCCGGAGCGGCATGACGGCCGAGTGCAGCCGGTGCTTCGCCAAGGGCCGCATCGTGGACGATGAAGTCGTCATTAGCAGCCGGTTAGCAAAACCATGCTCATGCCAGAAGTCACAAGACATCAGGCAATTCCTCGCCTAGCACCTCATTGCACTGGAAAAGACCGTGCAAAAAAATACGTACATACATACATACAAAAATACATGGGCCGGCAACGACCAGTGCCTCTCGACCACGGGAACTCTTCCCTGCTGAGCCAATGGGTTTGCTTCCTGACGAAGCGAGCACCGCCACCGTGGACACGTCATGTTCGGAGACTCATTTTGCCCTTGAAACTTTCTTCGGGTTTGTTTGTTTTGGCTCTGTTCTTGTCATTCTGCTTCAGTCTCACCAGTTTCACGCATAGGTTAGCACAAACTCAAGGAACACAAATCACGATCACAAGCAGTCCCCACGGGCCCACGGATAGTGGACTTGAAACTGTTTCATTTCGCTGGTCAATTTTTTCCATGGAATGCACACATTTTTTCGGACGACAAAGTCAATTTTCGTCCAAGTTTGTTATTCTGCCTGTGGTGCTACCACCGTGTAGAGATGGAGTTGTCGTCGTTGATTTTTTTGCAAATTTAGAGATGAGACTTCAGGAGGTGGCAAAGGTGGTGGGAAGTCCGTCATGCTCTTATTCCCCTGACATGCAAAATTTGCAAGATTTGGAGCCTCATTCATGCGGCGCTCAAGTGGCACTCATTTGTGCAACTTAGTGTGGCTCGACTAAGGACTTGTACTATGGAGGTGATGACGGTGACAGAATTCGCCCAAAAGTGACTGAAAACGAGGCGAAAGAGGCTCGTGCAATCGTGGTCAAGGCCAGGTTGCGCCAGGCCACTGTTTCGCTGTGGCATCCAATGATGGAAACGTAGATTAGAGCGGCTAAACATTTTTTTTACGAGCTCTTAAACACATATTTCAATTTACGTGAATGACGTGGATTGAGCTAAAGATTGGATCAACGCTTGTCAGGCTCAAATTGATGCTGCAAATCGAAAGGCGGAAGTCTGCCAGCATTTTGCATACAATGTCAGTGCGTGTTGCTAAATTGATGCAGAAACTGCTTTTGTTCAACTGCCAAGGAACGTGATGCCGTGAAAGCACAAGTGGGGGCAGCATCGAAAGATGATCTTCAAGCGATGATCAATGCTCGCCTGAAAACCAGCCTGAGTTGAGGCTGCTCGGACCTGTGGCATGCAGGTAGTGTGAAAGCTGAAACTGATATTTTTCCATAGGCTCATGGCAGAGAGCTGTGGCAGGTGCGGGGCTGGCCATGGAGAAGCAAAAGTGAGCATGGTGCAACACTGCACGACGCCTCACTCAAGCTGCTTGTCCTGCGCATTCAAACGCACACAGCGACCTTGTTTTTTTGAAAAAGAACACATCATTAGTAATATTAGTTTTTAACATTTTGTCGATCACCATAACCAGTTTGTTTGTCATGTTCAAGTCTTTTGTGTTGGATTGGAGTGAATTTCTCGCGGTCCAGACTCGATATTTTTTTATGAACAATGGATCTTTATATAGGTATCCCAGGGAGAGGTTTTGAACTTGAAAGTCTGGCCTGCAAATGCAACGCCTGTGGCCTGCGTGTATGATTTGAATCAGTAGCATGAGAGTGAGACTCTCCAAAGCTTTGACAAGGAGCCTGAGAGGCATCAGGGTTTAAATTTGAAGAGCCATGCGGCAGGAACTAACAAAGTCGTCACTTAATCTTCATGGGGCTGAGGAACACGGTTTGTTTCAAGAGAATCAAGTCGTCAAGCTGTTCATCCAAAACCAACACATACACAGATTCAAATGTTGTCTATTGACGCCTTTGACTCCTTGGCCTGGCCCAATAATTTGTCAATGGCTTATTCAGCACTTAATGGACTCAATGCTTTGAAAGGCCCGAGAATTTCCTCGGGCGCGCAGCTCGAAGTCAGCCACTTTACCATGTTTCACCCAGCTGGTAGTTTGTGAGTCTCTTTTGCAGGATCATATACAGAACGCGGAGGAAAAGCCATTGTGATTTTGGTCCACCAATATTCACGATCTCCATTCACAGACTTTGACGCGCTTGGTGAGCTTGTCATGAGGTGCCGTTGCCTTGTGGACATGCAGGAGAGCAAGTTCATGTCTGAGATTCGAACCTGGCGAATTTGCACTCCCCGAGCTCCACAATCCTTTGTCCCTGTTAGGCGCCATTAATCTCATGCGAGGTTGAAAGTGTAAAGTGTGATTCACTGGATGCACACAAGACTGGTCAAGCGAATAGAGTATAGAGACCCTACAGAGTTTTGTTTACAGTTGGTAGCGGAGCTCTTGGGTTCTGATCCGAGGGTGATGGTACTTCCCGCGTTGGTTTCCCTCACTCTGTGCCGCGAGGGCAACCTTCAGGGCCACGGCACCATGCAAGAGGACCTTTCCGATCCTGGCCAGATCGACACTGTTCTCCTGCACTCCCCCTCACATCCTGAGGAAAGTGCAACTCCTGCGACAGACACCTTTCGTTCGCAGACAGTGCCGACTCGAATGGAGTGAATCAGTGTCCAGTGTCCATGTTCTCTAAATACTACTGGGGCGGGCGCCATGGAGCAGGACGGTTCGTTCGTATGCGGTGCGGATACCCATCATGATGGATTCCACACATTAGTTGCGGCCAAAGAGCCTTTGCTTCAGAGACAAGCTTCGATAGCCATCTTTCACACGCCGTGGACATCATTCTCATGATCCCCACGCCGCTCAAAGAGACGTCGTGTCTTCTGGCGGAGGCGCTTTTGCCCTTGTCTGTGAACTCCCGGGAGACTCGCGGGTAGAAGTCTTTTGGCCAGAGCACGTCCCACACCATCGCCCGATCGACTAAGGTGAACGCAACGTTTTTCGCCTCAGACGGCGCTGGTCATCCCACTCCTGGACACGGTCCTGCACATCTCAAGTTCTCGGCCGAACAGTTGCAGCTTGGGGTATTCCAGAGTGATTTTGAAGGGAGACAACGCGACTGTTGCTGGAGGTGGCTCAGCAGGCACCACTCCCGGTAGGGTTTCACAAGCCTTGGAACCTACGCGATTCACAAAGCAATGGTCCAGTTGAAAGGGAGATCCAGATGGCGCGAGGTCTAACAAGGACTTTGGTGAGGAAGGATGCCAGATCAACATCAAAGCATCTTCAACTATCTTCTTCGATGTGCAGGTTGGTTGTTGAGGCGCTACAGGGGGCAAGTGGTGGCCCAATCGCATACGGGATGAGGAGCGGCCGCAGATATGGTTGACAAGTTGCCACGTTTGGAGAAGGTGAGGGGAGCGGATGGATATGACAGGTTCGGGGTTGGACGTTTGTTGGGGAAGACAGATCCGGCTGATGGACAGATCCGGCTGATATCCATCTCGTCGCCGCAAACCCGCCCGCACGGAAGGTGTTGAGGTGCTAAACTGTAACAATGCTCTCATTGCTACATAGCTTTAGCTAGGGAGAGCATTAGGTGTGTCTGAGAGAGGAGTGGGAGTTGGGGCAAACATGGAAAACGTATAGTCTTTATATGTCAGGTGGGTTTGACTGTATTTCTCATCGTCTTATCAATCGCGTGACCAGGTTCATGAAAAGGAAACAAACGCTTCCTTTCAACGTGTCAACAGCCTAGTCTACGTCATAGTACACGCTTCACCATTGCCTCATTTGCATCAGCTGATTGTAACTGTATAGTTCGTTGTACAAAACGATTCTGCTTTCCATGCGCATTCTATTTTGCCATTGCTTTCAGGGTAGAAAGCTTTTTCGGGCTCCAAAAAGAAAATTAGTTTTGTTTTTGAAAACGTACAAATTGGATACACTGGGCCACCTAAAATCGATATTTTTCAGGGGTCCATATTATTTCAATTGTTACGTGTTTCGAACAAACAATACCTCCATATGGACAGAATTTTACCCTAAAAGAACATCTACATTCAAAAAGCGTTGGTTTAAAACCTTTGGTAACCTTTACTTTGTTCATAATCATTCTATTTTTTGATCCCTTGGAAGAATACAAGCTCAAGGGGGGTCGAAAATGAGATCCAACAATGCTCGCAAAAATGCAAGTAAGGCGTAGCCATGTATCAAAAAGCGCAAACATAGAGTGATTACTGAGAGCCACCGATGCGACCTGAATAGAGGGTTGGTGGACTGAAGGTTGTGGCTTTGGCCAGATTGGAGCCACGGCTGGTGCTTCCACCACAGAGATGGCGCCAGAGATCAGATTGGAGGTGAAGAGAGAAGCTCCCTGGACCCCCTCCGGAACCAGATCCAGAACAATTTGCAAAGATCGAGGATGAAGGGGCAAAAACAGAGTTTTAGATTGAGAAGGCAGCCAGAAGAAGGAGATTCCAGTGCCCAAAGAAGGAGGATTGGAATTGGAGTTGGCGCGCCCGGGCGATATGAGTTTGGGAGGCGACAGCCAGGCGTCAGCGAAGTTGGTCGGTCACCCCACGAAGCTTTACAGTGACTTTACAATGTTGAGTTGAAGACGCCTGCCCGCGCATGAACAAGGCATCCTTCCTCCACTTGGCAAATTGGGCCCAGCCTTAGCAGCGACGGACCAAACAGATCGGTCTGTCTAGGAAGGCCCTGCAAGGATCCACTCTCCCGCAAGCTCAAACGACCTGCCAAAGCCTTTTCAAGAAAAAAAGAACGGTTTGGATCAGGTAAAGCAAGCCAAGAAATTGACTAGCTTGACCCTTGGACGCCTGCTGGCAAACATAGCCTCGGGTCAGGCTACGGAAGGCTTGGGTCGTCGTTCCCCAGACTGAGGGCCGAAACTATTCGACTTGAGCCTCGCGCATATCATAATGATCTTGTGTTTCGAGCACCCTGTTCGTCTTGGTCGGGGTTTTGCAGTTGGTGTGTTGTTGAAGATGACCTGAAAGATCGAGTCGAGTTCCAGAACGCTTGGGGCTTTGTTCGAAAGACTCCGATCAGGAACGCAAGAGCAAAAAAATGAGGTCAGAAGAGGAGGAGGACAAGGAGTGAGGCGCAAGAAAGAGGAAAGGAGCGGTATAAGACAAGGTTGGTTTCAGAGAGGCTTGATTTCTTACGCAGAAGATTTGGGCTTGCCCTTCAATCAGGTGGCGGCCGCAACGCGCCATCCGCGTTGGACAGGAAGGCCAAACAGAAGTTCCGCCAGAGTCGCGCGCGGTTGGACAACTTCGCGCGCGCCTTTGAAGGGTGAGGCTGGTAAGAGAAGAAAAGAGAGCAGAGGAGCATAGAGTTGAAATATGGTAGGAAAACCCAGATCGTGAGCCCACACAAGATTGAACACACTGGCTCATGAAAGGTTTGATCGATGTCCAGAGAGGTGCGCCTAGCATGGCCTAAAGAGACACCTTGTTCAGATGGATGGATCAATTTGAGCCATCTTGCGCTTTAGGAGAGGAGCGACAAGTGAACGCAGCCATGGACAGAAAAGGATAAAGTTTGGAAGAATGACGAAAGCAACCAGTTCAGGAAAAGGCAAGAAAGGTCGAGAAAGCCAGTAGAATAAGCCAGGCTGAAACTAAGTTGCCTATTTGAGTTTGAATTTCTACGGTGGAGAAACCGAGTAGGTTCACATAGGTGGAGACTCATGCCGAAAAGGCAGCGCGTCACACTTTACCCAAACCAGTTGTCACAGAACACGCCTATGACTTAGGTTCAAGCTTTCAGGTGAAGAACGTGCTTTCCGCTGAGCGTGTGAGAGTTTTCGTTACATATTTGTAAACTGTTTTAACATTTAAACACATGTATATCACATCGACGTGGAACGTGGAAGAGCAGTGCGTGAACAATCGGTCAGTGTGGCGTTGTAGCTGTTTACCGAGGGAGCCCACAGTTGCCACAACTTATTTTCAGAACATCGCCTGAATTTTTTTTGAGGTGGCGGGTTCGCCCGGCGGCGTTGCGCTTCGTTTTTTAAGGGTGCGCGCGCGCGCAGTAGCTCTGAAAACCACCGACTCTGACTTTAGCGCCCCCCTCCCCTGCAGGTCAAACGGTTACTTTTAAAAAGGCCGGTTGCAGTTTTCATGGACACAAAATAGTAATAGTAAGCGACGCACGAACAGGCAGAGGTATTTCTAGCCAATAGCAACAGATGTGCTTCAAGCGTAGTACAGTAGGGCTGCAGCAGATGCTTGGTTACGCGTCGACTTCAAAGGACCCATCTTGGTGAGCCTTCTTGCTGAGGCCGTGTGCGCGTTCTGGCCAAGGAGAAGGAAAGGGCTGGTATGGTGTTTCTGCCTCATTGTCAGAATGTCGCTTTGTTATTCACTGCGTGGAACCTGTTTGTATATGTGGATTCCGCGCGTTGTGAGGCATTTGCCCCATGGTCTCAGCGAAGAGGAGTTGCCGCAGCTCACATTGAAACACATTCATGTCACGAGTTGCGCGTCTTGCCTTAAGCGGTACTCCAGGAAGTTGTCAGCTATGAACTTGCCGACGAAGACTTCTCCCTCTGTGAGGAAGAGGAAGGGAGAACGACGCGCCCCTTTGTTTTTACTTTGATAGCGCGCGGCGACATTTCTGGTTGCAAAAGCGTTTCAAGAGCGCTTCCTGGCTTCGTTCACCGAACAGGAAGAGGAATGGCGCCAATACGATGAAGAGGCTTACGTATACCGAGTCCTTCCCGACTTTTTCTCAACGCTTCTCCGCGAACGTGTGGTTTCACTAGAGTCCCAGCGGCGATTTATATATTATACTGCCACAGGCCAGAGATGTTTGCGTCAGCGTTCCCTTTTTGTCCGGGGTTGTAGGCGAAACAGCCACGCCGCTGGCCGCAGTGAAGTTGGATGCTTTCTTAGTTAAATGAAATATCAAGCAAGTATTGCGGAGCAATGTCAAACAATGCTTCCTGTTGGTGTTTTTTGTGTCGGGGGAATAAGCTGGCTTTGGGCGGTGACTGAGCTGGCTGGCTTTGGTTTCGGCCTGAGCTATCCATGTTGCTTCGATAGTCGGGGACGTCTTCTGCCCCAATGGCCAATGACCCCCAAACAAACTCATTGCGTGAAACCCCGTTTGTGCCTTGCGCCGCGCGGAGATACCCTGGTCAATGACTGCGTCTAATTGACCCTTGAGTCCGTACACCCCCTTGTTGTGTGGGCTTCGGTTGCGTCCAAGATAGGGCGCTTTAAATGCATCGCGGTGTGACTGTCATCGATCTATATTCCTCAAGGCCCAAGAGAACCGAAGCTTACTTCACTTCATGAGTTCATGAACCTGTACAGGAATACGGAATACGTTGGTGGCACCGACGGTAAGCAGTCTTAGTTTTCTTGTGAAGATGCCGTTGGCGACTGGTGCGGCGTCGCAGAGTCAGAAGAGGAGAAAGAGGACCTGTGTTGAGGACTAGATTAGATTTGAAGGTCAAGCAGTTTACAGTCGTACTCTTGACAGAGATTTGCTGAAGCCAATCGACCCACCAGGTTCTGGAGCGCGTTGCTTGAGGAGCGTTTTTTGCGACCCTACTTTCTTTTCACGTGTCTATTGGCTAAATGCTTGCGGCTCATAACAGGTTCTGCAGGCGTGAAGCGGTTGACAAGATTTCGAAACCTGTTCCAGAGACTTGTCTCAGCTGGATGGATATCTTAGATCCGTGACTCAAGCGTACAGCGACAAATGCAAGTAGACGCCACGCTAAACGGAGCAGCTCCCAGTCCTGCAAAAGGATTCAGGCTCAGTTAAGTCATCGCTCAAGTGATTCAGATATGACTTCCCATTGCGAGAGAATCTTGTGGCGCCGTTGACGGTCAGCTTGGCTGATCTGTCTCATGACCGGCGAACACTTTGGCTTCTTTGACATCTCATCGCGGACGCATCGCGCGCAGCTACACGGTGAATGACAGTATTCATTGAGATGGTCTGCGCGACGCAGGCAGTCGACAATCCAATGACGCAGCCTCCAGGCGCTGGAGGAGGAAGATCAATCCTTGTACCTCATGAAGGAGAGCTAGAAGCAGAGGAGGGTGAAAAGAAGGTAGAGAAGACCGAAAAGATACTCTGCGAGTAGGAGATTGTTCCATTGAAGCCTGGGAATCAGGCTGGACCTTCAAGTGCGTCTTCCAGCGCATGGAACAGATTGTTGAGGAGCAAGAGTTAGTAGTCGTGTAAGAGAAAAGGAGGCTTGAGGGCGACAAAAACACAGATAAAATTCCCTTTAGACCGAGAGTCAATGAAGAAAGTCCGTAGTTATGAATTTGTTGCCAGCTGGCTCGCGTCTAAGACGTAATGGTGCACCTACAGCCAGCGCTTGCCTGCGCCTTCAGTGGGCACGCGCGGTAGGAAGTCTCTCGCCCGCTCTGTGTACACGATGGACGCCATTCGCTCAAGCTCACAACGAAAAATCACCTGTTAGTCAACGCGTTTTCGCGCTTGCAGTTCCACTTGTGCGCGCGTGTCATCCCTTCTAGACCCTAGACCTCTTTGGAGATCGCGTCTTTTCCAAGGGAAAACAATTGCTTGAACTTCCGTCTCACCGTGTGGACCGCCGTTGCTCATGAACCAACAAATTGAGCAAAAAGTGTAGTAGTAGTGGTGGTGGTAGTAGTAGTAGTAGTGGTAGTGGTAGTAGTAGTAGTAGTAGTAGTAGTAGTAGTGGTAGTAGTAGTAGTAGTAGAGGTAGAAGTAGAAGTAGAAGCAGAGGGAGAGAGAGAGAGAGAGTCTGCGCGTGTGTGCGTGTGGACCGTTTCTGGTTTTGATTCACTGCGTAAAGCTTCGCAAAGGAACGTGACCTTTAGAAGGTTTCAGCTCCAGCAACAATTTGCTGATCCATCTTGATCCAAAGTTCAACGCACGCGTGTGGTTTCGCGGAGTTCTTGTGAGTCATTTGGCGCAGGTAAGCCAATTCAAGAAGCTGGTGCTCGAGTGTGGATCTGATTTGAGCTCCTCTTCTAGGCAAGGCTCACTGTGCAAGTTGCCGCTGCTTATTCTTACCATAGTCTATAGAATTTAGAGGCTTCCTCCTCCTCCTCCCCCTCCTCCTCCTCCCTCCTCCTCCTCCTTCTTCCTCCTATGCGGTCAAGCGCTTTAATAAACCAAGGCGCAGACCGACGTTACGTGGGCCAAAATCAAAAGGGAGGACTAGAATGACTTACGAAAGAACAGAAGAAATTCAACATGTTTGACGCGGCGACCAAGGACCAACAGTGTCAAGGGCGCTCGGTGCCTCGTGGCAAAGCTCACGCCCGCCCAAGCCTGGTCGATTGCGGACGCGCTGTGCTGCCTTATTGTACAGATCTACGCGCAAGGAAGACCTCAAAAGCTATTCGGCGCCGACCGTCTTCGTCAAGCCTTGATTTTAAAATTTTGCGCTTCCGCAGATCAATGCGCGGCCCGCTGTTTCAGGTTACTCCTGCTGTCCTGCTCGACGGTTGTTTGGCTACCAGCCTTCCCGTATACCAGGCACTATTCCCGACAGGTGACCCTGTTTGCTTTTGCAGCGGGCGCTAGATGACGAAGCCCTTCCAGCCGACTTCAAGTCAATGCGGAAACTGGCCATGATACCGTGTCAATGAGACTCAGAAGCGGTTTGACTATCGCATCGTTGCCTGCAACGCTGCAGACTTGGGTGGAGAGACCATCCACCACACCTTCGGCTTCAACCTTCACGAGCAGCTTTGAGTAGCCATGCGCCCGGAAGCCGCCAAGGGATTGGCTTGCTGCTGTTGGCTGTTCGTTGGCGTTGAAATCAGCTTAGTGCCTGCAGATCTCCTGGCGCACTTGGCCGTCAGCTGACAGTTGGAAACATGATCCCATCAGCGGCCGCGTGACCATTGCGCCGTGCCTGGCCCCATGTCTGATTGATGTGGGAAGACGCGCAGACGGAGAGGCAGAGGTGCAAGGGCGAGTGGGAAAGAATGAAGGAAGGAAGGAAAGAAAGAAAGAAAGAAAGAACTTCACCTTGGCTTGGTAGGAAACATGTTGCTCGGCTTGCGCTGTTGCGAGGTTCCGCCTATTGTCCTTCTCTCGGCGGATGTTCCTGCAGCGTTGGGTTTTCGCCTGTTTGGCTATACCTTCTTGGCAGGCATGACTGGGGTGTCTAGCCAGAGGAGTGCGTCGATATCTTGGGCCGCTTCTCACCGCGTTTCTTTTTAGAATGCGCACAAAATATGGCGGTATATGAAACCGGGCCCTTGCCCTGCCTCTACTTCTGCGTCCAGCTGGACAAATCCAGTCGTCTCACTCTTGATCAAATTCTCGCCCTGTCTGCTTGATGCTTTAGCCGCTGCTTTGTGATCCTGGCGTGGTTGAAGGGGTCTCTGCTTCGCCGGCCTGCCCCTCCTTCTTCCTGATGGCGCTGGACAGCCCGAAAAGCTCCACGCCTGGTTGGTTCGGGTTGCCGTCAACATCACTGCAGCTGTTGCCCTCATGCTGTTTGAGATTGCCTCTCACGTGGGACGAGGTCGCTCGCAGTAGGCCAACCTCATCCAGCGCAAAACCCACCATTTCACCTTCCACTTTGTGTTGTCTGAATTGGCCTCTAAAGCCATCCACGAAGCGAGTTTGGCGGGGCAGACAGTGTGTGAAGACAAAGCCCATGACCATGCGCTTCACCTCTGATGCTCGCAGCGTGCGTGAGCAATGCTTCCTTCCAACTGCTCACGCCTGGCTGCCACATGTCCCTGATGAAAGGCGTCTTTGAAGATCAGCGGAGTCGTTCAGTAAAGAGCGAGGATTCCTCAGGGTTTTGCTACTTTGCGCCCACCCTTCTCCTTCTTTGATGACATAGTCCGAGCCAGCGACCAGCTTCTTGCTGAACTTGCTGATTTGTTCAACCCCGTCGGCAAGAGGTTTGCTTCAAAGCTGTCTGGATCTTGCTCTTGTCGTTTCAGGCTTGCTTGACGTAGAAACGGCTGGGAAACTCATACGCAGACAGCAAATGCACTTCTGGCAGTTGCCCTCTCCCACCACACAGCGCCCAAGGAGGAGAATCAGTGGCGCTTGTCCACCTTGGCCCTGCGGGCGGTGTGGCGCAAGGGTCGCGTGGGTAGTGTATAGAGAGATTTCGGTGACCGGCGCAGTCTTGATGTCGGATCCTGGTGAGCAGTGTTGAGGAAGAGGTTGCGTGTCTCAACAGCTCCATGCACCACCCCTCGCAAGCGCTTGGTAGCCCTGGCTCCCGATAGCCGGTCTTCTGGTCTTTGACTTCTTCACAGAGATGTTGCTGGCCCTTCAGCCACTCCTTTGTCTCCAGCGCTGCGTGGGTGTCCATGGTGATCGGGAAGCGGTAGCGCAGCTGTGCATCGCCGTGGCGCCGCAGGCCTACCAGCGATGCTGGCTGTTTGCCGCTCAAGTTCGCGTTGTTGCAGGGGCCCCCGGGTATGCCCACCATGCTTCGCTTGCCTTTAGAGGGCATGAAGCTGATCGCTGGCGCGCAAAAGAATGGAAAGCCAGGCGCCATCATTGAAGCAAATCAGCTTCTCAAGGTCGACCAAGGAAGTATGACCGCGCTGCAAGGAAGGAAGTGTCCAGCGCTGTGGACAAGCCTCACAGAACGGCAATATGCTGATGGTCTCACCAAGACCCCTCAACCAGGTCCGGCTCGCCGAGCCACTTCGCGATAGCAAGATTGGGCCCGACCTACAAGTACGCAAGAAAGCTGATGATTGAGAGCTCAGCCGGACCGAGTTTGTTAAGGAACAGAGGCCGACGATCACGACATACGTCGCTTCATTCAAACACAAACCGCAACACGGAGACCATCCTCGAGGTGTGATCAACCGACTCCCACAGAATGCGTCCGGCCTCAATGGTTTTCTGGTTGCAGACCCAGTCGGTGGCCTCTTTACTGCTGATGGCCGTAGCTCTAGCGTTTATGCGTAGCAATGTAGCAAGGGGAGATGAAGACCTTGAAGCCGGCTCTTTCGATCCCGCTAGGAGGAGGAAGGCAAGCAGTGGCAGAAGAAGATCGATGATCTCAAGGGCCAGAACAAGCTTCTCATGACTGAATGTGACGCGCGACGCCAGTTGATTAAGCTGAAAGCGGACGTATTCCAGTCCATTGGCGCGTTCGTTCACAGCCGCCCAACAATGTGTTTTGTGTTGTGCAACGGCTCCGGTTCCACCTGGCGCACGACGCCCAGTCACTGGTCGCACGCTCGTCAGGACACAGAGATGTGGCATCACCAGGCCTTCAACCCATTATCCGAACGCACTTTCGCTGGACAAAAAACAAAACCTTCACCGCTCAAACTGTGGTTAACAAACCTGTCAGGTTCGCTAAGAGGTGGGATGGTTGTTGAATTGTCGAACGCATAGTCATAGCCCCCAGCTGCGCGGTTTCGAAAGGTCAATTCACACGCTACAAGTCCAAACCTTCTACCGGTCGTTGACTCTGTTGACGACTTGGGCTTCTGGGGGCCCAATCCTTCAAATTATAGGGCCTTTTTTGAACCAATCTTGGTAGAACACCTTGAGAGAACTTGTCAGTTACGTGATTCGATGACTACTGGCACAATTGTTCCCTGAGCAGGGAGCGCAAAATAGCTCTTGTTTATTTCTTTCCCTCCCCACATTACTTCCTGCCTTCCTACCTTTGATAAGTAAGACAGCTCTGTTTTGATCTGCCTTGCTGCTAGTTAACCCCACCCTACCCCAAAAGATCGGTTCTTCAGCCTCTTCCGTCGCCGGGTGTGTGTGATCTACAGTAAACTCAGCGCCATTAAGTTCATATAGCGGCAAAGAAAGAAGATTGAACCCATGAACAAAAAGCAACGCAAATGGAATATCTTAGGTTCAGACAGTGTGACGCCTGGAACACTTCTACCATTTGCAGGGCACTAGCGCGACACTTGCTTGACACTCTTGTTCAATGTTCTTCTGCGACACTCTTGTTTGATGCTCTTGAAACACTTCTGCGACACTCTTGCAGCACGCTCTCGGGCGACGCTGTCGTGGTACACAGTTGCGTGGGAGTCTTGCTTGGACACTTGCGCGACACTCCTTTAGGATGCTCTTGGGTGAAACAGCTGTGTTGTGGGGCGTTCCTGCGTAATTCCCCTTGCAGCGTGCTCTTGTGGCCTTGTGCGAGATGCCGCAACCGGTGGTCGCGCGGCGGGGCCTGTCAGGCGAACAGAGCCTGCTGGGGGAGAGCGAGCAAAAGGGGTGGGCGAAATGAACCTTGGTGACGCGAGCAATGCCCAAAAGGTTCAACCGTGCATCTTTAGCGTCGCCAAGCGGCCATGACGCCATTCGAGTGGACAGCAGGATGTCCAGTTGTGTGTATGGAATGATGTAGGCGCGCGTCGGCAGATGTTTGCTCAGCTGTCAGGACGGCGACCTGCAAGCAGCAAGACTTCAACGAAGAAGTGGATATGTGGTATCAGCCAAGGACCGGTTTCTGTACTGCTCAGCTGTAAAGACAAGCCGGCGTGCTTGTCTGTACTAACAGCAGTGAATGCATAGAACACCTTCGAAGCGGTCCAAGAGAGGGTGACCAACGGACTCAACGAAAAGGCCATGTGTGGCGGTGCCCTTACGCGTTTTGTCAAGAAGTTTCGGGAAGAAATAAGGGCACCAGCGAAGAGCGCGATCTTCTGGGATCTAGCGGAGAAGTTACGCGAAGAGCACGAAGGCAACTTGGCTCTCATCCCCTCCCTCCTCAAGTAAAATGCGGTACGCGTGTATATATAATATACATTCATGCGCGCGTACACTTGTCAATACACAGGTAAATTCATTGTGCGTCGCGACGGGTGCAGCACCCGCTCCGATCAGGTCTGCGTTTTCTCGACTGGGCCTGAGGCTTGTGCTTTCAGATCGTACCACATACGGAGGCCCAAAAGTATTTTGCAGAACCTTAAAACCTTCATTTGTGTTCGTGGTTGGTTCTTCTGGTTTCTGAGGCCCATCCATCCGTGATTCGCAAGACTTGCCAGGCGATTTGGAGTTCACATTGGTTTTACACTTCTGTTTGGCAATGATCGCAGGTCCGTTTGGTGACTGTTGCTCTGAGGCAGTCGGAGTAGATACGAACAATCTCATTGATATCTCATTGGTTTGCTGATAGGCAATCTTGCCGCAGAATGAGTCTGGCGAACGCCCTAGATGATTTGGTCCGACTTTTGCGGGTACGTCTTGGATTTCACAATGCCTGTGTGGCAGTCTGAGGGGGGACTGATGGCCAAAGCCAGCCTTCAGCTCTCGCACCGGTCTGAGTTTGTGCTTAAAGTAGTAACTCAGGCTCAGCAATTGCGGTCGTGTGAATGTTTTTGAACAATAGACGAGACTACCGACTAAGAAGGTGTCAGGCGTCAGGTTTTTGTGTTATGAACCACTATACAGTGTGTTGCGCATCGGTGGTGCACTGAACGTGTTTTCATCGCAAGTTTGAGTTATATATATAAGTATATACTGAATTAGATGTTCAAGATCCATTGCGTTGAAACTCCTTCAATATACATTCCATTCGTCCAGGTGTCGTCTTGCGCGACATAGTGTGGCATGTCCTATAGTTCCACAGTGGGTTGTAGAGTGGGCTTTGGGGCGTCAAATGTTGTGTTTTTGCGGCCTCGTGCGCAAGAGTGTTTCTGACCACCAGTGACCACCCGCCTACCATGATTCGGCGCAACGTAACACGGATTTGTAGATTGCAATTTTGTGCAGTTTCTGGCGACATTTATTGATTTTTCAGATCCCCAGTAACAGTTCAATTTTTTCCCAAACAGTGTGGGCACACTGAGGGGTTCTTACGGCAGTAGAAAAGCAGGCGTGCTTAGATCGCTGTCCCGCGCGGCCGTGTCCGGCAAATTCGATCCTATTTACAGTGCACTCATGCCTTTCGACATCATCAATGTGCATTTCGACTGCGGAGGCTCTTCAAGTCAGGGTGGCCGCGGCGGGTGCTTCTAGCGACTGCGCTCTCGTTGTGGCGCCTTGTGCATTTTCGCGCATGGCGGCGACTTTTCGTGGCAGGCGCAAGGGAAACCTCGTGTTTTGGTGCTCCAAAGTCGACTTTTCGAGACAGGTGCAAGGGATCGGAGCTGTCTTACTTCAAAATGCAGTTTTCGTGGCAGGCGCAGCACTTTGGACATGGTGGTGATCGTCGAGGAGCTCAGATGTCGTGAAAGGTGCAGTGAATCGTGACTTTTGGACACGTGGCTGGTTTGCAGATTTCGTGGCAGGCACAGCGCTTTGTGAACCTCGAAGTGCAGATAACCTCGAAGTGCAGATTTCGTGGCAGGCGCAGCGCTTGGTGAACCAATTGTCGTGCAGATTTCGTGGCAGGCGCAGTGCTTTGTGAACCTCCAAGTGCAGATTTCGTGGCAGGCGCAGCGCTTTGTGAACCTTGAAGTGCAGATTTCCTAGCAGGCGCAGCGCTTGGTGAACCTTGAAGTGCAGCACATTGTGAACCTCGAAGCGCGCAGAATTCGGCGCAGGCGCAGCGCTTTGTGCTCTCCACCCTCACTCTCACTCACGCACGCTCACACTCACACTCACTCTTCACTCACACTCACATTCACACTCACTCTCACTCACACTCACTCACTCTCCCACTCCCACTCACACTCACACTCCTCACACTCACACTGACTCACTCTCCCACTCTCACACTCTCACACTCTCACTCACTCACTCACTCACTCACACTCACTCTCACCCACGCTCTCACTCTCACTCAATCACACACTCACTACCGTCACCACGATCCCCAACTTGATCACCACCATCACCTCTCTGGACCCCATTGCGTCTGGATCTCTAGACTTTCTGCTTTTTGACATCACACACACACTGTTTGGGGTCTTTTGCCGGGATATTTCTTTACAGATCAGGGTAACCAACATGAGCACCAGGAAAATGCCTCCAAATCACTTATGGGTTTTCCATCAGGTGTCATACAAAAGCTCTATTTGACCTAGAGTAAGAGGCCCTGAAGTTCAGTGGGTGGGATGAAAGGTATGGCCCAAGTACCTTGGCAACCAACATAACTGCATACCTCTCGCAAGCAAAACTTTGAGCAAACCCTTGTTTGCTTCTCAGCCCACCCCCAGCATTCCAGAACCCATGGGGAGCAGGAACAATGTCCATAAATTGTTTGTGGTTTGTGGGTTTGTGTGGAAATTGGCTCATTGGGTTTTGATTTGATTTGTTATAGAGTTGTAATGGATGGTGTGTGGGGATGTTGTAGAGGCAAGACCTGTTCTTTAGCCCACCGTGTTTCTTCCTCTGTCTCTCTCCCTCTCCCTCTTTACAATGCCTTTGTTTGCGCAATGGCATCCTGAAAGCCAGCGTATGGCGATGGATAGAGGAACACAAAGTAATGGCAGATCTCATGTTTCCATCATAACCTCACCCTCTCCACACAAGATACTGCGGATCTTTTGATGCTGCAAAGGGGTCTAGCGGTAAAGTCTCGATTTGTGCGTGTCATCGTGACGACCTGTACTGGGTTGAGTGGTTTGCATCATGCTTTGGCTTCCTGAGCCTTCAGCTAGGATGCCAACACCTTAGTACTCCAGGTACGGGAAAAGGTCTTGCGTGACCTCATACAGCCGACCGCTGTTCCCTGACGTACATAGTGGTGCCAGTTGGCCTCTACACTGAGAGATCTTCTCTCACTGCTCGGGTTCTCATCCTGTTGTAAAACTCAAACTCAAGTGCAGGTGCAGTCGACTGTACTGGATCTGGGTCCCAAGGCTCTGTACGCCTCACCGTGAACTCAGGATCACTTTCTGAGTCTACTGCACTGTCCAACCTCTCTACTCGGTCCTCACTGCCTTCCACCAAGTTCATAGGCTGGTCTGGTAGTTCTCCTTGTCCACCGTTGACCTCATCAGCCTGGGCCTCATCGGCGTCCATCTCCACATCCTCATAGCTTGGTGAGTCATCAATACCCACCGCCTCCAAGTACCGGGCTGGTACTTCGATGCGTCATCCATCATCAAGTCGAACGATGCCCATCAGCTCACCTTCTTCTGTCTCATCAATCGCTTGATCTGGTTGCCGGTTTTCTCCCTCTCCTGGTGCTCTGATGGCTGCCGCTGTTGCCGAAGCTGCCAGCCACCCTGTTCTGGTTGTCGTGGGGGTTCTCTGTAGCTTGCTGCTGGCCTCCTTTGTCGATTCTGCCAGTCCAGGTTCCTGTCAACCTGTTCGACCTCCATGTTCAGCCGGCGCTCTAAGATCTCGATCTTCTACTCCATGGCTCTCACTTTTTGTTGAAATGCATCACCTAAATGCTAAGCATTTTACGCACTGTGCCAATTCTTGGCTCAAGCACGCAGCTCATCGCGACAAAAAGGAGCGCTAGCAGTTGCAGCTTAGCGGAATTTGACTGTACTTTAGTGGTTGAGCCTGAAAATACAGGTTATCAGCCGTAGCCTCTGCCATGGCTACAGACGATGGTGTGAATGCCGCACTCGCCCTCATCCCATATACTGGCGATACTGTTCCGGTCGCCGGGGGCAACCTCGTGCCCGAGGATGTCGTCATGGGATCTGATGGCGTCACAGCGTATTTCCAGTTCATTCAGAACAATGTTCATCAAATTGCTTCAGGAAACGAGGAAGCCGTTCGCTTCGAAGCAGAGCAAAGGCATCGAGAGATCATGCAATCTACAATTCAAGCCTTAGGCTCGCAATGTAGAGTTGCTATTGATCAGGCGAGGGAAGTCTGCAACAAGCAGATCCTTGCCATGCAAGGTCGGATCAATTTGTTAGAAGGACAGCTGGCTGAAAGTCAGGCCAAGGTTGCTAGTGCAGACAGCCTACATCAAAAGAGGATGTCGGAGCAGAAGGCAGAAGCAGAGAAACTTCACACACAGAAAATGAACGAGAAGATGAGTGAGCTGGAATCTATGTTCGAAAAGATGGTAGAGGATGCATCTAACAAAGCTAGAGCACTCCTTGAAGAAGAACGTAGGCAACACCAAATCATGGAGACCGAGTGGGCTGAGCAGAAAGAACGTCTTGAACAGGAATTGCGAAAAGCATCAGAAACCAATGCACTCCTACAAGACCAACTTGATGGAATGATTCCGGTGCATGAGGCTGAAGCGCCGCATCACCTGCCAGGCACGGCAACACCAGTGCTGTCCGAGCCAGCAGGCCGCGAGGCTATGCCCCAACCGGTAGAGATCGACTGGAAGGCGAGGCTGGATGCAAAATTCGCCCAGAAACTCGGTGATTTCTATCCATCAAGAGCGACTGCAACAGCACCACTTCCCGCAGCGTCTGCCCAAGGTAAGGATGAACAATTTGTCGACGCACGTGAAACGGCCGACGAACGTTTGTCTCATGCTGGCGATGGAGGAGTCGACGGCAAAGTCCCGGCTTCTTCAGGCGACACCAACGCGCTGATGAGTGGTCTCGCGGAACTACTCAGAGAAATGAAGTCCAAGAAAGACGATGAAGGCAAGCCAAGGGTCAAAGAAGCCGATACAATTGCCATACCGGACATGCCCACGCCCGAGACTTACCGTCAATGGAAGAATTTGGTCCGTGAGCTCGTTCGATCGTCGTCTGACAAGCCCGATGAAGCATGGGAGTGGATCATGGAGGTTTGGGATCCGAATCTCTCTCGTGTCGAACTCGAGGCAAAGCTCCAAAATCCAGGAAAGTTCGTGACCAATTGGACACGAAGCTCACCGCTGCTCTCACCAAGTCAGCCCGCGGCGACCTGGGAAACAGAATCCTTAACCATAAGGAAGAGCAAGCAAAGAAGGGACATCAGACCAGAGGTCGAACGGTACTTCTCATGTTTGATGACTACTTCAAAACGTCTGAGGAAGCAGGTACTCTCTATTCACTAGAAGACCTCTTGAAGGTAGCGAAGTTCGGGGATACCATTGCAGACCTCAAGAAATTCATTAATTGTTGGGATGCTGTGTTGGCCGGTATGAAGAAGGAGCCTGAAGAAACAGTCCTTCGTGATGTTTTGCTCCGTCACATCCGTCCCAGCACGCTACTCAAGTATAAAATTGACACCTATGATCGGGCAAAGGAAGGTGATCCAAGTAAAACGTACTCGTTCCTTGTGAAAGCCATCCGGGACCTGATCGATCGTGAAAGGCTTAGGGAGAATTGAGATCGAATCGTCGACAAGAATCAACCGAAGCCGAACAATCCCAAAGACAGGGCAGGACTACCCGTGGTGCCCCCAGCCAAGAGGGAGAAGACACCCCCAAGGGGAAGAACTCCTGACAAAA